AAAAGCTTGAAGGAAATGGCAAAAAAAAATAAATTTACAAAAAACGCTTTAATGCAATTTAACTCTTGCTTGTTTCTCGAGTCCACTACATTTTCCTCCATTAGAGCCGGGGTGCTCAGGTCCATCCTTTAACTTTTAGATGCATCTCTTCTCAAACACACCTGGTTTGAAAGGCTCAATCCCCTCATTTAGCCCAGCAGAGGTGTGGTAATGAGCCACTCATTTGATTCAGGTGTTAAAAATAGGGTGCATCAAAAAGTTGCTGGATAATAGCTCTTGAGGTCTTGACTTGAGCACCCCTCCACTAGACTTTCGAACACTCCTCTAAAATGGCGTAAACACTATATACCTCCCTATAAAGTGATATAAGGGTGTTTGGAGACGGCCTGAACATCTAATGGATAAAATAGTAGTGGACTTGAAATATCCCACAATGCACCTTGAAAAGTAGTGATCATTTCTGGTCACTAGATGAACAGATATATATCCCAGAATGCTTTGGAGAGTTCTCCTTGCAAGGCATAATGGATGGATTAGTGGAGCGGCGAGAACCGTGCAGGGAGGTGGAGTTACGTGACCAATGGGGAGCGAAAAGTAGTGATCATCTGTGCGAACAGTAAGTTAACTGAGCTCACTACAAATTCCACTATATAGTCCCCACTCTATATGGTGATTGAGGGATTTAGTGGTTAGGGTTTTCGGAGTGAACAAACGTATTCATATGCAACTTTAATTGCATTTGCTGTTTAACAGAAATACTAGCCTAATAAGCCAGACTAAATGTGAGATTAAATGTGTAATTTAGTCTGGTCCTGATGAATGAGACATCAGAAGATTGTTGATGAGAACAACTCGTTCTTCAAACCATGTCTGTGCCTATTGGCCAACGCTCTGACCAATGAGAGCAACTGACTGTGACGTAGGAAGCGCGACAGAAAGCTGATGGTGGAGTGTAAACAAACAGCCTGTCGTTAAAATGGCAAATATGTCTTTCCTAAAAATTAATGAGCTTAGAGCTTCTTCCTGCTCAGGTTTCAATGAAAAACCCCAAGTCTAATCCTTTCAAAACTGATTCCAAAGTTGAGTCAAACGAGAACTGTTCTATAGTTGTTGCCATCTGCCTTGTTGTGCTTTCTCCAGCGTCGCACAGCTTTGTCGTCACGCCATCAGAACCCCGCCCGCTTTGCATCCCGAAATTCAAAACGCATCTCTGGATTGTGATTGGCTCGCCAGTTCTAGGGCCCTGGGCATTAATCGAGGCTAGACCACTTGCAGGCAAAAAAGTGATTTTGGACACTGGCTGGTGGGGCTATATACTAGGCTATGGAAATACTGCAATAGTAAAACTTTGTATTTTCTTAATTAGGAGAATACCAGCATATTTTGCATACATTTTTAATGGAAATTCAACCACTGTCAGGAAGTTGTCAACATAAAAATGGGTCCAGCCCTATAGGCTCATCAGCCTGCTGCCAATTAAGAGTCATAACCATTAGAAAGGCTGTTTTATTCTACAAACAGCTGCTTAACTGCAATAATTTTCTGTGAACATTAGGGGATTTTCTGAGGAAGACATTTTTTTCATAAAAAAGAAAAACATAGACCTTTCAGCTTTAAGAGAAGTCAGCCAAGTGTAAAAGGTGCTAATGTGTTGTTCTAGCCACAGAGGATCATTATCGTTTTCATCATACTTGAGATAGTCTGCTGCTTGTAGATGTCTGACAGTTATGGCCGCATGGACCGTAGATGACAAGCAAAATGGTCGGGAGTCCTGAATCAGCCATTTTCAGAGACAGGATGTGTGACCCCCCTCCCCTCCGAGGGCACGAGCACGCAGACACGCATGCATCCAGAGCATATGTGCTCTTTTTGCACACTACATGCACGCAAGCCGGCCATCAAAAGTAATGGCGTGTGAAGAGAGCGAGTTCTCTCATGTCAGCCATAATATCATTGCTGTGGAGTGTAGATGAAGCATGCTGGGGAATATGGTTCCACACCATTGGTGCACCGCAGATGTTTTCTTGTACCACACACTGGTGGTGATGACAGAAGTGGGTATTAACACCAGACCTGTTAGCCGATGCTTTTTACAAGAAAGTAGTACGTCTGGATTCTTTTAAGAGACTAAAGCAGACGCATTATTGCAGCTTTAGTGTCTTTTTTTTATTACTCTTTTATTTGTCTTTACATATATTTTATATTAAGGATTTTGAATTAGAAAAAAAAACAACTGTTGCTTATAGAGTTCAAAAGGGATGAATGTTTGGTAATTTTCTGTCATTTTAGTTTAATCACTATTAGATGTTAAAATATACCTTTATCGACAAACACGTTTTAAGGTTTAATTTTTTTGAGCATCTGACAATATTTACAATCTAAAGAAGAGAGGATTGGGGAGCTGGGGGTACTGGTGAGGAGTTCCAAGCATGGGTAAGCAGTAACAGCATTGAGACTGGAAGCAGTTGTTTAGGAAGTGCTTAACCCTCTCCAGGCAGATGTTGCAGATTTGCAACAGCTAAATGCTCTGATTATTCCACATCCATATTTTAAGAGATTTTGTTACTCAGAAGTACAACAGAAGGACTTAGTTGTACATTTGCAACAAACAGTTTCTCTCCAGCTCATCAGATAGCACTGCTGACTCACTTTCAGCATGGCTGAGTCCTTGGTGTCAATGAAACAGATTTTCTAAGCACCAATTTCATGTAAATATCGCTACCAATTTCCATTATTTTGAAATCAATATTACATAAGATGAATCATGAATCTGTATAGATATGACACATGCCAATTGGTAGATTTTATCTCCTCTGGGTTTTTCACCAGAGGCATCTCGATTTCAATATTGTGGATTCGCCATGTGTGCCAAAACAGGTACCAATGGATGCTACATGCTGTATCTACTAGTTTGCCTAAATTTTGAGCAACAGTTTAACAGAAACAGCCTTCTCAAGAGGTTTCGAGATGTCGGTGAAGAAAAAGTTTTAGAAAAAGTTGTCTCTAATTTTGTGAGAGATTTTTTTTTCGAATTTTGTTTTGTTAATTTTTTGTTAATGTTATAGTTTGTGACATTCAAATAAAGTTAACGTTCATATCAGATTCAGTCTTTAGTGTTAATTTAAAACTCCGGGCCACTGTTGCAAATCTGCAACATCCCAGAATTCATTGCATGTGAAGGTCTCTCTCTCAAAAAAAAAAGGCTGAATTGTATATTACTACCCCATATGATCATTTTCTCAAAATATCAGTTTTTTCCTGCAACTACAAC